TTGTTGTTGTTGTTGTTGTTGTTGTTGTTGTTGTTGTTGTTGTTGTTGTTGTTTACATGAGTTACATTCAGAACAATCCCAGGGTACAACACAACGTTTATTTATTACGGTTATCCGATCCAGGAAGACAGACTTTACTTCTTGTAAGAATTTTACGGCATTCGCGACACAAATAGATCGTATATTCGAAGGTTAGGGGTGTTACAAGAGAATAACGTACAAACATCGATCGTTCTTGTCTCTCTTCCTTATTTCCGTTGTAATATACTCTCATGTAACAGCTGGTCTCTTTAGGATTATAAAGTTCTATCTGACTTTTTTTCCTTTTTGAGTTTATATTAAGAGCATGCATATGATCAGAAACCAAATGTTCTATCTGCTCTATCAAGATCGTAAGATTATTCGGAGTTTTTATCCATATAATATTCGAAGAGTTGCATTCAACAAAAGCTTGATATGTTGTGAAGCTCAACATTTTGTACGTCAAATTACTCAAAACTAGATCTAAATCTAGATCTAGATCTAGGTACTGAGCAGTTAGAACTTTTTTTATTCTATGGTAGCCACCTCGCTAATCTTCGGCGCTTTTACGATCTAAGCTCTATGTGTGTTGCAAGTGCCGTAAAACGCTTACTATGACTATGACGAAAAGTGATTAAGATATTATGAGGAAGAAGACAAAATGTCTTCCTATGTTTTATTGTTTCCGGCTATTTCAGCGCACAAGTCAACATAACTTTTCCCACGTGAGACAGACATAAAGTGCGTGGCGACGCGGGAAAATCAGGCGCTCGTCAAATTTTCGGCGTGTGGCGTGTTATTACTGTCCTCTTAAAGCTTGTTCATAATTTGTCTTACTTCCTAAGAAAAAGTACTCATCTTTCTCGGGTAGAATCTTTGCTCACCTTGCAGAAGCAGATTCCTTTGATGTCGCTGGATAATGAAGATAGTGGTCCCATTCAAGATGATGACGTTTCTGTTCTTCTCAAGATCGAGATCCACAAAACGCCCGAATGGCCACTGTTCTACTGCCCGACCTACTCGGCCCCTTGTTGATGACACCAGTGAGTGAACCGTGGGTCTGTCAAATCTCGTGAATCTGTTCAGGTCGGTGCGGGGGCAGATTTTCGCTAGTACAGACTAGCCGGTGTCAGCTTATTCTTTACACCACATCTGTGTGTGTGTGTGTGTGTGTGTGTGTGTGTTGTATGTGTGTGTGTGTGTGTGTGTGTGTGTGTGTGTGTGTGTGTGTGTGTGTATGTGTGTGTGTGTGTGTGTGTGTGTGT